AGGGTGATAGGGAGTGATTATGCGGAAATCTTCACTTCCTAAGTCCTGTATTATTTGAGCTTTTCCCATCAAATATTATTTTGTAAGCAGAGAAACAGTAAAAATAAGGAAAATTCTCCTCTCATTGTTTTTCTTTCTATAGTGAGGTAGAAACGCTGGAGTTGAGTAGTGTTAGTGGGACGGGTAGACATGTTGTAACTTCAGGCCATTTCTCCTCGCCCCATTTCATTTAGTCAAATACAGTCACCTCCCAAATTGGCGGTTGTCCCAAAGATGATGAGGTTGACTATGGTTGTGGGGGTCCCTCTAGCCAGTTTGTGACAAGCAACATGTACCCATTCAGAAGAGAAGGTGGGGCAAGTCGGTGTTTCAGGGCAGCCAGGGGCACGTGAGCTGACGTGGGTATATGTACTGCTACTCTCTGTAATGGGTTGCTTGGTTTTTCCTCAGAAATAAGGAAAGTGGTCTGATTTTACAAAACTTTGCATGTGGAAGCACACGCTAAATTCATGTTTTTCATTGTCATGAAAAAAAGTGTATTAGTTTTGGAGTAAAAATCTCTAAAGTTTTTGCCGGGTAGGTGGCTTATCCCATCTACTTTGGTGGCAGGGCAGAGACTAGAGGGATCATAGTTCAGCCTGACCTGGGTGAAAATGCCAGATCTTAGCTGAAAAATAACTAAAGGAAAAAGAGTTGAGGGGTGTGGCTCAAGTAGTAGAACACCTGCCTAGCAAATGTGACGCCCTGAGTTCAAACCCCAGTACAACCAAACAGCAACAACAAAAATCTCTCAGATTTCTTAAAGACAACCATGAGGGTTTGAGACTAGGCAAAAGGGCTGTCAGGGGGTTTGGCTTGATTCCAGTTTTGAAAGGGGATTTAGGCTACCTTTTGGGTTTATTCAGGCCAAGATAACCCTCCCAGAGTAACCACTTCTATATTTACAGCGTAGTTGGAGTGCAACAGGAAGGGTGAAATGGAAGGCAAGTAGGGTGTCTGTAGCCCACCTCTGTTGTGGGTAGAGCCAGCACACACTGCCTATGAACTTTTGCCTTGCCACTCTTTTTCTCTCTCCTGCTGACACATGCCATTTTAGTGCAAAGCAATTATTTATCCAAGTACATAAAGGTAAGTCTCCCAAACAACCAATTCCTACTTCACAAGAAGGTAGTAGGGTCACCCCTTCTGAGTGCCATAGAAGGTGACTTCTGACTTCTCTCCCTAAAAAGTCTCAGTGCTATTTGATTTGTCTACTCCTTCTTCTCTGGTGATATTTGAGGGGTACTCAGTACTGGTACTTAGGGAACAAATGAGCCCCAGTGCTTTGGGAAATATCTCCCAGGTCTCTCTGACATCTTCCAGAGGCTAATAGCTGAGCTGGAAGGTGCCTAACACTTTCAAAGTAGTTATTCTGGTGCTATTCCAAGGGTTGCTCGTATCCCAGTTTGCTTATTGCACCCCAGAGCCCCTCCTCAAACAACAACAGTGTGGTCACCTGGACACTCAGGAGATGAAGGACTGGGAGTACCAGCTTATGGTGAGAGACGTGAACACTCCGTGTGGGTATGCAATGGTTACACTTAGGAGAAGAACATACTGTCAGGAGCGCATGGCTAGGCTGGGAACAGAGAAAGTGCCTCACCCTTGGGGGTGGCTCAGAGCATGTGTTTGTCCCTAATGAATTGTGTCTGATTGTGCAAAATAAGCTTGTTTACCTGGGTGCCTGGCTGGCTGTGATATTTCATTATGCTGGCAGGTATGCAAGCCAGATTGCACCTGGATGATGCCAGAGAGAGGTGCTCTCCTCAAGGAAAGAAGGCAGACAGCCTCTGCAGAAAACCAGCTTCTCAGAACTGAGCTGATACCCAGAGACCTATCGATTGAGTGCTCAGACCTCATGCACAGCTAGATTCATGCTTTTTAAGTCATCCAAGTAGGAGAGTAATCCCTTTTCTTCAATGCCAGCCAATTGCAATGATACCACTGGGCTTCAACCAACCCCCTCAGAGAGGCATCACGATACAGACTGGGAACGGGAATGTGATCCCTCGGCCCATCCCCCATGCCTGGACTTACGTGGTAAAGTCCTTAAAAATAGGTGTGGCTGGTTGAGAAATTCCTTATCATTCTTTTTGTCACCCATGCCTCTGACTGTGGAGGCTTGGCAAGAGATTCCTCTGAGCACTGGGAGTTCTGTCCATTTCCTTCTACCATCTGAGTGGATGGTGGGATCACCAGTAGTCCAGGCTCCTTGGGGCCTGGACCTGATGGTACCTTGGTTGCTTCCTCTCATTGCAGTGCTGAATCAGCCACCTCAGGCACAACCTTGAAGCACTGGTACTGCTGAAAAATGTAACTTAGGGGAAGAGTGCCATACACAACCTGTTTGGGTGATTCCAGTCTCTCCCCTAGATAAAAGCCTACAATTTATAATTTCTGTATCCATGTAAAATACCACGGAGCCATGTCAATGCGTGTGGCTAGGTTAGACGTTATATAATTCTGTCACATTTTCTAGCACTTATGATATGCTTTCTAAGGATGTCATGCTGGGGTGTTGGGGAAGGGTTGTTCTTGATTTCATGATTTGATGCCTGAGGCCATTCCCATTTCTCCGCTACTGGGCCTGACTGCCCAAAGGTTCTGATGCTATAGCTCACTCACATTTGCTCCACTTCTGGATTTTTCCTCTGTATTACCAAGAGACAGCTTTCAAGGGCAGTGTCGGAAAAGCCCAGGAAAACTGAGTTTAGTGTAGGTAAATTGGATAGTGTTACAATGAGAAAGCTAAGTACACTCTGTTACCTTTCTTTTTGATTTCCTAATACTAAAAACTGTCTTCTAATCATGACCCTATCCATTTAACAAGTATTTTCTGAGAACTATATGAGTTAATAGAATCGAGAAAACATACTTAGCTGTACTATTTCAGTAAGAGCTAGAATCATCATAAAAAAAGATGAAAAAGAAAAGAAAAAAATCAACAAAAATCCTGAAACGTGTTCCAGGACAGATTTATGCAACTCTTGGCCGATGAGGGCTTTGTATGAAATCCCTTTGCTCATTTTGGGATGTCTACTCCACCTTGATGTTCTGGCAGATGGGAAGGTATAGTTGCCATCTGTCTTTATTTTTCTAACCTTTCCACAGGACCTTCACAAAGTGGCACTGCAGGGACACCCTGCACTGCCAAATCTATTCCTTCACCCAAATGCTCACTGTTTTTCCTGCCCAGATCCCCAGTAGGGGAGAGGCTGGCATAGGTCTTTGGCTGATGTCTGCCTGTTCTTTTGGCTCTTTGGAGAAGGAAAAGGTCTGGTTGTAGGGCCTCTGGGTAAGCAGGTTGTGCTGGAAAAGCATGGCTTTGGGGATCTGATTTTTGAGACTCAGTCTCTTTCTGTGGGCTTTCTTTTCTTGGCATAACCAGTTTGGTTTTTGTCCCCTCAGGGGACCTGATTTGAGGGAGGGACACTGGTTGATTTGACCACAGGCTTGTTCTCTTTTGTGATGGGTCTGGGGGCTGCAGCCAATGCTTCTCTTTTGTCCTTAGAGGCATCTCTCAGGGTTAAGGACTATGGCCTGTTTGCCACTGGATCTAGAGGCTATTCCAGTGTTTGTCACAATCATGGGTGAATGAGTAATATAAAGCCAAGAAGACCAGCATGAAGTATAGACAAATCATGAGTTTAGTCAGAGAAATTGGTTTGGCTCTTAGCTTCGCTACTCAACAGCAGCAGAAGCAAGTTCCTTCACTTTGCCAGCCTCAGTTTTCTCATCTGTAAAATGCAAACTTCATACTTGCCTCTTAGGATGGCAGTAGGGGTGATATGATAGAGTGGCACAGCTCTTGGCTTATGCATGGCAGACTTTAGGGGATGTTTGCTATTTACTGGAAAGTCCCAGGTGGCTCATCACAGAAGAAGGGACTTGGATCACCATCATGTAGCCTTGGCCAGCTTGGAGTTCTGGGGAGAGGAGTAAATCAGCCCCGGGAGACCAAGGTTTGTCTAGCCCATGAGCCCCTCTGTATCATGGAGTGTCATCTCCTGCCTTACATTCATTTCATTGATGGATCATGTCTATGCTTCCTTCACCATCACAGTTCTATGGAGGTATCTGTGAAAGCAAATACACTTTAATGCTATTGAACTTTGGTTTTAGCACAGGTGTGGGAAGCTTGGTGAATGAAGCAGGGCAAGTGAAGCGTGGGCGGTGAGCAGAGTGACCCACAAACAGTACAATGGGCTGTGGTCTAGCACTGCCATCAATCAGTTGTGTTACCTCAAAGAAGTCATGGAACCTCTCTCTTGACTTAACTTTAATGTTTTCTAAAACAGTGGGTGGGTGGCCACTGGGGAGTTGCTGTCAGTCTTGTATCAACTTTTATTTATTTATTTTAGTGCAAGCACTGGCCAGATGGTATTAAGACCTACAGCATATTCTTAGGGGCAAACACAGATCTTGATACACTTCTCCAGATGTTGAGGGGTAATTAAGGCATTCAACATTTTAAAAATCACCTGTTAACATGGATGTTAACAGTTTAGCAAAACTACTTTTTCTCAGTGGAGCATGGGCATAATAGGATTGACTGTGAGTTATAGGCGATTTCTTTGCAAATGCTATAAGTTTATGCTGTCTTTTCCACATAAGGAGATGTACTAGAATATGAGAGAGACAGGTGGTTTAACCATAGTTAAAATGTCATGGGCTCTCAATCTTGGATCTTGGTGAGGAGTAGCATATTTCTTATGATAGAACTCTCAATTGATCCTGGCACACCCATTTGCTACATCAGAACTGAGAATGAATGGATCAGACATGGTATTTTCAAAAGAGACTTTCACTTTTCAGGCCATTTCTTAACTTTACACATCTAGGACTTGCTTCTTACATAGAGAAATTCATTCCCTAGCAGGACACTATAATGGAGTGGAGTTGGTATAGAATGGAATGAGGTGGGGAAGAGGGTTTGGAAAACCCTCTTCTTTCTCAGTGACTCACCGTTGCAGACATCATTTCCAATCATGGCATATATGACAATGGCTGGATGGTCCATGCTTGGTTCCTAGACAAGCTGAGAAGTCACAGATGCAACCTGAATGTCAGACACTTGGAAATCTAGCTTTGTAACCAGTGACCCAAGCTGGGTTGGGGGGTGGAAATCTTTGTCGACCCTTCTTCTGGAAACTTTTCTCTATTTTTTTTCATTCTCTTTCTCTTCTTCTTTTTCTATGATCTTTAACCCATTAAGGAAATGCCAGGTAAACGCACAAAATTGAAAAGAGTGGATTGAAATGTCAAGTAAATAGGCACTGCTATCTTCCTAGCATCTTTCACAGCACTTGTAAGCACAGGTGAGTTGCCAGGGTTACTCTGTCCAGGTTTACAGGATGTCCTCACAGCTGTGGACCCCTCGTGAACTTCAAAAAGGCAAAGGCTTCCTGAGGACTCCATTCAGGGCACCATAGCCTCATTTCTGAATTTGAAGCACAAAGTGGGCACAAGAAATATTTCTTATTTATAAAGTAAGAATATGGCATAATCCTTATGTCTTTCCAGTTACTTCTTTCAGCCCTAAATTGTATCCAACTCATATGTAATTTATAATCCTTCTTTGGGGACACACTCACATTAGTCACATCCTAAGCTTACTGGCCCAAGAAGTACTATCCCACTTAAGTGAATAGTGACTCAAATGAGCTCAGCAGAAATCAGCATGTGGTAATAACAGCTTACAGTCTTTTATCAAAATGTGTAACCAAATTTAAAAAACAATTTTAGATCCATCTTCCACTTACCTTTCTATAAATTTCCTCAGATTTTGGGAAGATGCACCTGCATTATTAAAAGTAAGAAAATAAGCTGTGAGTTCAAGTGATACCATACATATGAAATTCTGATTGGCTGAATTCATGGAGAAAAATCATTGCTGTATATGACATATTGCTATATATATGTACAACACATATATACATACATATACATATATGTACATATATATCACATTTTGTTTATTCAACCACCCATCAGAGGACTTCTGGGTTATTTTCACCTTTTGGTTATTGCAAAAAATGCTGCTCTGAACAGCATTTGAACTGGTGTACAAATACAGTTTAAGTTTCTGTTTTCAATTGTTTTGGGTATGTATCTAGTTGGAAATACTGATCCATATGGTAATCCTATATTTAATGTTTTTTGGGGGGGTGGGGGGACTGCCATACTGTCTTCATTTCATTTTTTCTTAAAAGTGCACAGCATGCATGCATTCCTATACCTAGGCCATTCATTTGTGAGCCCTCGCTGCGTGTAAATTAGACACAGCTTTATACCTGAGGAGTATCTATGGGGGTAGATACATAATTTCATACTGAGAACAATTTTGAGAGCTTGTTTGGAGGTTCTAGAGGGGAGCGCAGCTACTCGTATACCCTTGACCGAAGAACGGTCCTCCTCTATCGGGGATGGTCGTCCTCTTCGACCGAGCGCGCAGCTTCGGGAGGGACGCACATGGAGCGGTGAGGAGGAAGGGGACACCCGCCTAGCCAGCCAGATCAGCCGAATCAACCCTGGCGATCAAATGGGGTGACAGATGTCGCAGCCAGATCGCCCTCACATCCCTGAGAACAATTTTGAAAGGTTACTGTGAAAACTTGAACAGAGGAAATGCTTAGTTTGACTGGAAGCCTATTAGCTCTGCTTGGGGAAGGTACCTGGCTTTTACAACACTGGGTCTAAATGGAGACTCAGAAGGTATTTCTGGATGTTCATTGTTTCATGCTGCCCTCCAGAGGGAAGAGAAGCTCATCCTCCATCCTGCAGTGGTCATGAACCCACTGGGTCCCTTCATCAATTCCACTCCGTGACTTCCAGCTTCCTACTTTCAATAAGACAATAAATCAAGAGGTGTTTAATTCTCACTCTTTGCTTTTTCTCTTCATGAGAAAATGAAAACTGGTGAAAGCTCAAGCATGGACAGGAAAAAAATTATAAGACCAGGTCAGCCAATAGTGCTCCTCATTATCCAGAATACAGCTGGGAATTTGAGATGCACATCACTCACAGAGCTTGAGAAAAACAAAAAGGGAAACCTGTCATGGGTGCCACAAAGACAGCCCTCACCACAGTCAACATCATTTGTGACCCTTTAACTTAGGACAAGGACAGCAGGCAGATGGTAACTGGTTGTGGTGAATTTAAAAGAGAACCAGTTCTGGTTATAATACACATATACATGGAAATGTCATAACAAAAATCCCTATGTAGCTATCTTAAACAGACAAAAATGTCATTTTTTTCGAAAGCGAGAATATGAAGGATAACAGGTCCTGTCTGTGAGGTTGGCACCAGTGGGAGGTGGGAAACAAGGAAAGGTGCAGGAGGTGAATATGGTGGAAATGCTATGTACACATGTATGTAAATGGAAAAACAAGACTGTTGAAACTATTCCAGGAATGGAGGGGAGTGGGGATAAAGGAGAATGAAGGAGGGGTGAATTCAACTATGATACATTGTAAGAACTTTTGTAAATGTCACATTGTACTCCCGGTAAAACAGTAATAATAATAAAAGTGAAAGAATAGTCAACAACCCACATGGTGGCACATGCCTGTATTCCAGCCCTTGGGAAAACTGAGGCAGGAGGACTGCATGTTGAGGCCAGCCTGGACTACATAGGGAGACTATCTCAACACGACAACAATAGCAACAACAAAACTAACCATAGAAGGTACCAAGGAGCAAGAAATTGCTACTTCTTTACCTAAATGTCCATTTTTTCTGTTAAGCATTCATATTACGAACACAGAATTCTCCCTGCTCTAAAGTTTCCTATCTTCCACTGTTTCCACTTCCTTTTGGAAATTTCAGCTTTATGAGATTGTCTAGTTAGTACATGTCACGTCCATTTTATTCCCTCTTATTATTAATTTCCCTTTTCTGTGCCTCTGTTATCCTTTTGCAGACTCAGCAACATTTTCTGTGGTCCTCCTCCTGCGTTTAGACTCCACCTGGCTACTGGCATTCAAGAAAAATGCTACAGAAATAGGAACTGGAAGACGTGAGCAGGAAAGAAAGGAGCTCCTCGCCGGGGTGTGGTAAAACAATGCAAATATTTGAAGAACTTACACAGCTGTCCTCAGCGCTCTGCAATTATAGTTCAAGAAATGAGAAAGATTTGACCTTTAAATAGGCCCTTTAATTTATTTGTTAAGGTGGTCCAAAGGAGAACCCACCTATCCCCAACTAAGAGTCCACATGGGCCTTTAAAGTCTGAACAGGGTCCTGTTTAGTGTTGCTTAAATAGGGCATTGCACATTGCAAGAGGAGAAGGGTTTCACACAATCTCAGCATTGGTTCCCCCTCTGAAAATGTATTTCAGCTTGTATTTCTACTGCTGGGTCATGTTTGACATACCACCAGGTAGCTCCTCTTCTGTGCATTCAAATCAACTGGTGAGACAATTTTAATGCTCTTCTAAATGAGCTTGTAACATTCAGTGTGTGGTTCAGAATAGGCATTAGGTTTCATGTTGGAAAGAGGTGGAGAACATTTAAATATTAAGTATAAGTCTTAATTTATAATTAACACATTAATTTGTCAGCATTTACTGATTACTTGCTATGTGTCAGGCATTGTAATTGGTGCTGTGGACACATCAGCAAATGAAAAAAGAAGCTCGCAGTTGTTAAGTAAGTAATGAACATAAAGTGTTAGGAATTCAGAGGAGCCCTGAAGAAGTGGTGTCAAGCTGAGTCCTGAGAGAAAAGCAGGTACTTTCTTTCCTGAAGTCCTGAGGTAAGAACTCATTCCTTGATTCTCAAATACCTTGCTCTTTTACACCCTCAGAAACAAATCTCAAGTTCAATGTCATATATTATATATAACATTATTATAACTACCTGTTCAGGGCAGAACACATCCAGTTTTTTTTGCATTCAGAAGCTTGTATAATTTGGGAGATGTTTTAAGAAATAGAACATAAAAACAAAACAAGTCCTTACATTAGCCAGAAGCCGGCGTGGAAAGGGACAGGGGTCTTAACTAATTATGGTAAAATGTTTTATGTTTGCAAATTTTACAAACATATATGGTCACCAGACAAGTGACAGGCCCTCGGGCCTCAGCAATGTAATGTCTATTACTAGTAGGTAGTAATGATTGAAAAGCAGGTAATTTGGGTTCTTATTTGAGAATCTGCACATTATTTAGTTCTTATATGAGAATCTGAAAACAATGATGAGGTACATTTTTAGTTTGTTGACCACAAATAACTCATGCAAACATGAGATGTCTTGAAGCAATGATCTGAACCAGAAGTCACAGGCCTCAGACACACAACCTGGCAGAAACACACGATCACCCCATCCAGAAAGAGCAGCCATCACTCATTTCTAATAGGCATTTGCCACTCAGAAGGCATGGACACTGTTTTTGTTTTTTTTTTTAATTTTTTATTATTCATATGTGCATACAAGGCTTGGGTCATTGCTCCCCCCTCCCCAATCCTCCTTACCACCCACTCCTTCCCTCCCTCTCCCCCTAACCCCTCAATACCCAGCAGAAACTATTTTGCCCTTATCTCTAATTTTGTTGTAGAGAGAATAAGCAATAATAGGAAGGAACAAGGGTTTTGCTGGTTGAGATAAGGATAGCTATACAGGAGTTGACTCACATTAATTTCCTGTGCGTGTGTGTTACCTTCTAGGTTAATTCTTTTGATCTCACCTTTTCTCTAGTTCCTGGTCCCCTTTTCCTATTGGCCTCAGTTGCTTTTATGGTATCTGCTTTAGTTTCTCTGCATTAAGGGCAAAACAAATGCTAACTAATTTTTTAGGTGTCTTAACCTATCCTCACCCCTCCCTTGTGTGCTAAAGCTTTTATCATGTGCTCAAAGTCCAATCCCTTGTTGTGTTTGCCCTTGATGTGGCATGGACACTGTTGTCTGTCACACTGTGTCTGATCACACAATGAAGTCAGAAATATGTAATTTAGACAGTGGCATCTAATTCAATAATTCTAAAAAATGCTCTGCATGCAGAACAAAATGCATCGGTGGGTCCTCAGCTGTGCCCTCCTATCTACAGGGTGACACAGAATCACTTATTTTAAATAACTTTAATCCCGCCCCAGTGTTTGTTTGTAGGTTGTAACAGAGGGAACTAATTATTTAAACATTTAAGATTAATTAGTACAAGTTGATAATTTATGTTTGGTTCAAAGTTGAAAAGCAATAGAATCAGGTGATTAATTTTGTGGTTCCCTCTCTCACACTCTCCTTTTCTTCTTTCCTTTCTGACAAGATGGCATGTGTGTGTGTGGTGTGTGTGTGTGTGTGTGTGTGTGTGTGTGTGTGTATACAGATGCAGGATATAAAATTTGAAAAGAAAAGGGAGTCAGGAAAATTGAGGTAAGGCTTCCTTTTCTCTTTTTCTCTCACTCAGCACTCCCTGCCTTCTTCTCATGCCTTTTCTTTCCCGACAAAGAGAAGTTTGTCATTAAACACTAATTTTCTTCCTTTCTTCTTACACATAATGTTTATTGGATTCCCTTGATTTCTGATTATCTTACATGGAATTTGTTGTACAGGGTCCTTATTTACTTATTTCACATGTATGTGATAATAAGTTCATTACAAGTAGGAAGTGCTCCTAAAGCACTAAGCACAGAATAGGTGTACATTAAATGACTTATTTGACACTGGTTTAGAAAGGAAAGCAGAGAGAACACACTAATGACTGTTTTTCCACACTGTGAGCTATTCTCTTCCATTGACTTCTGATGGTCTGTGATTTTTTGGTTCTCATTGTAACTCTGATCAAAGACCATTCTTTAAATTT